GGTCCACAAAGTTCATCGCTCAAGTTTTGTTGTCAGTCTTTTGGGAAAAGAGACTATTTCATTTCTGTGTTCTGGAGAAGACCCGACTATAGGATGGGGGGACGTGAGAAGCCATACCCAAATCCAGACCTGGAATGGATGTTTTCCAGCCAAGACGCTGAAGTCCACACTGGAACCAGAACGGGGATGAGAGCAATGTTCCCTCTAAGCTATGGAGCCCTGTGAGCAAAAATTCTACTTTGTGAGCTACTGGCATTAAAGTTGTGAGCAGGTGATTTGGCTACTCCATAAATTAGTTTGATTTGGAGCTATCCTTCCTGAGCTAAGACAAAAACGAGAGAGCCAGAGGGTAAAAAAATGTGAGCTAGCTCACACTAACTCAGCTTAGAGGGAACACTGGATGAGAGCGGTGGCTGGAGTCACGGCTGGAGTAGAAATCAGTCCCAAGGGCAAGGGGCAAATGATGCTGCTCTGTTGAGCAGGCCATGGGAGATGACCGGGATTCTGATCATTCTGCCAAGCCTAGCCAACTTGGAACCCTCATACTGCTTGCCAATGGCAGTGGCTGATATTGCTACCCCCCCCAATCCCTTCTGTGCCAAAAGGGAGCTCCTCAGCTTGAGCACAAACTGTCCTAGATCAATCGCTAGGGTGAGTCTCCCGTGAGGTTCTAGTTTAAGCCCCGAAGACCCCGAGGCACATAGGTAGTGTGGAAGAAATGGTCAGACAGCAATATTGCTAGGGATGAATATTGAGTTCCCCTTGTGCCTGGCATAGTATATAATGCGTTCGCCGCTTTATAGAGGTCTGATGCCTCCAGTGTATTGAGAATTAAGAGCCAAAAAGTTAAACACTTGAGGGGCAAGGTTAGCCTTTTATAGGCCTGAACGAGCGAATACTTTTCCAGACTCCTGACTGTTTGTATTACGCAACTGGCAAAAGAAGCTCTGTTTCAGCATGCCAAACTCCTATGAGGACTATTACAGTAAAAAAAAATATATCACAGCAGCTCATGGAGTGAGTGCCACATCCTGATAAAGATATGTCAGCAGGGCCCTGGAGCAGACAGAGAACTATTGTGGAGAACTCTGCAAAACTTTAAAAGCTTACTCTGATAAGATATTAGTCCATCCAAAGTGACTGCATTTGCCAGCTCTTTATCTGTCATACAGCTTTCTGAGACTTTATAGGGCATTCGGGTCCTAATCCAGCATGTTGCGTCATACCCAATCAGTACAATTTTGTTAAGATTAATTTCGCCATGCATTTGAGAGAATGGCTCTATTCAAACATCACGCATAAGTCATGGCTTAATTATGTTATTCATTCAGGGTTGTCAGAATCCCCTGGCCACTGGTGGGGGATGGGGCATAGCCCAGCTACCTCCCCCGTGGTCCCTGGCCCGATGGGTCCTCCTGACATAAACAGTCTCCGGTAAACCCTCTTAAATAAAATGGAACATGCTTCTGAGCAGTCCTGTGTAAGATTGCTCTCCTTTCATTACTGTTACACACACACACACACACACACACACACACACACACGGGTCATTTCGTAGAAAAAGAGGTGCAGGAGCTCATTAGCATAACTCATTAAGCATATGCCACACACCCTGACATCACTGGAAGTGTGTCAGAAGGCAACACCCACCGCTCAGGCTCCACTGGACTGTTTTGGATTGCTAGCTACTGGGGGGGGGGGAACGTGCAGATTAAGGTTGCCAACCCCCCCAGTTTGCCAGGGGTCCCCCATATATATAGTTCTTGTTATCTTAGTATTAATTATTTTATCAACATTCTGTTGTGGCACAGGCACATGGGTTAACAGTTAGGCCTAGAGAGACTGTCTGACTGCAGGCTACTCTCCTAACTATGATTCATTATTTATTTTATTTTTATTTATTTAACATTTCTACCCTGTGTTCCATCCAAATAGAGTCCCCAAGGTGGTGAACATCCAATTATTAAAATGTCATTCAAAATATTCATACAATTTAGGGTTGCCACGTCCCCCCCTGCCCACTGGCGGGGGATGGGGGGGTAGGGCTGCTAAATCCAGATTAGGAAACTCCTGGAGATTTGGGGATGGAGCCTGGGGAGGACAGGGGCCTCAGTGGGATACAATGCCATAGAGTCCACCCACCACAAACATCCATTTTCTCCAGGGGAACTGATCTCTGTAGTCTGAGCTGTAATTTCGGCGGATCCCCACATCCCACCTGGAGGCTGGCATCCCTAATACAACTCCAATAAAAATATGTAAACATACAAAGTATTGGAGCACCGATAATTTATTTTAAGAATTTTATTTAACTGTAGTATGTGTATTATTGTATTTTATACTGTTTTTATTGTTATAATCTGGCATTTATGCCTCTGTTAGCCGCCCTGAGCCTTCGAGGAGGGCGGGATACAAATACAAACAAACAAACAAACAAATAATTAGGGTCTATCAAATCAGGAACTGAAAACACGGTTCGAAGTTCATTTATCGACTAGAGACAGTCTTTACAATGGTTTTGCAGGATGTGTGAATGTGGACATCCTGTCTTAATCCTGTCTTGTTCCACCCTCGTAGCACTTGCTGATGCAAACCAAGATTTAATTGGTCATCTGCAACCTTAACCCTGGTTCCACACTAAACCATAGTAAAAATAAATCATGGTTTTGTTTTATGACTGAACCAGGCCACTGATTGAAAGATCACTAAATTCAGTCTAGTTGTCTTTAACCATCACTCTGTTCATAGAGAGCCAGTTTGGTGTAATGGTTAAGAGCAGTGGACTCTAATCTGAAGAACTGGGTTCGATTCCCCACTTCCCCACTTGAAGCTAGCTGGGTGACTTTAGGCAAGTCACAGCACTCTCAGCCTAAAAAAAATATGCATGTTCAAGCCACAGGTGGACCACAGTGATTAACCAAAGGTACAAGCCACCAAAGTTCACTGTGAAGAAAATGATTCCATTACAGTTACAGTCCACAAACATTGCTTCTTCTTTTATTCCTTTATTTTATTTCATGCAATGCTGCTGCTGCTGCTTCCAAACACTTCCAAACAACAACAACGGATTTCCTAGGTAAGTATTCCGTTTCCCTCAATGCTTCGTCAGGTTGCTTATTTATACATGGAACTGTTTTACAAATAAATTATAGTATGGTTACAACTCATATTCATTCATTCTTTTTCAAGTGTGAGCAATCAAGGACATCCTTACCCCATGCTTAATTTAATTAACTCTGTTCATGTACATCAGTCGTTTTCAAGCTTTCCATACGGAGGGAATCCCTCCTACATGGATATGTCTGCCAAGGAATCTCTGTGTTTCTGTCACTTATTTTCCAAGAATGCTGGGAGTATGTGAGTGTGCTGTACATTGCACCAGGTAAAAAGGGGGCACTGGCCAAACATGCTGGGCCTCATTGTTCGCCTACATAAACTGTGTCATAAAACAGAAGATAAATAAAATCATTAATTAAAACTAAGATAATAAGAACGCCCCCCAAAAAAGAAAAATGGCAGCAGTGAAAACCCATTCCACAGTTCATCCAAATCTAACTTAAAACCCTAGAACCTTAAAAGCACCTGTAATGAATAAACTAAAAAAATTAAATTTAAAACCTCAAACACATCACTTATCAAGAGAAACAGCCAGCATTACGGAATCTTGTCAGCCTCTATTACTGATCTTTAACTTCAGGTACTCGGTCAGCATGAAGGGAAACTCAGGGTTCCCTGTATAGTGAAGAACAGCTTGTCTACACAGTTGCCGGGTGTAATCTGGGCCTCAACGGGTGACTTTAGGCATCCCCACACACACACACACACACACACACACGCACATCAGTACTATAGGAACCAAAGTAGTACTCCTAAGCACTTCACCTGATTTGATAGAGAAACCTCCCCTCATTGATTACAAGTAAATCATTCGCCTCCAGAAGAACAGTGTCTCCAAACAACATCACCCCCATCTTGTCTGGATTCAGTTTCAGTCTGCTCACTCTCATGTACTGGAGCACAGCTATCCAGGCACCAGTCTAGGAGCTGCGCTACAGGGTTTCTACAGTGCTCTATTCTGCGTTATTTAAGAATCTATACGAAAACCTTTGGAGAGGTCATCTGGAGGTTTGGTCTGAGGTTTCATCAATATGTAGGTGAGATGGAAATCGACTGCTCTTTTTTTCATCCAGTCTAGGTGAGTCTGCAGATATTCTGAACAGTCGGCCTGGATTTGGTAATGGAATGAATGAGGGCTAATAAATTGAAGCTGAATCCAGACAATATAGCAGTGCTGTTGATAGGTACATAAGAACATAAGAAGAGCCCTGCTGGATCAGACCAATGGTCTATCTTGTCCAGCATCCTGTCTCAATCAGTGGCCAACCAGTTCCTCTGGATGGCCAACAATAGGGCATAGAAGCCAAAGCCTTCCCCTGATGTTGCCTCCTGGCTCTGGGATTCAGAGGATTAGTGCCTCTGAATGTGGAGGTTCCCCTCAGCCACCATGATTAGTAGTCATTGATAGACGTATCCTCCATCTAATCCCTCTTTTAAAGCTCTTTACTCCTGGCAGTGAATTCCACATTTTAATCACTCTCTGTGTAAAGTAGTATTTCCCTTTGTCTGTCTTGAACCTACTGCCCAT